GCCAGAGAAAAGTTTCTGGAGGAGGTGAGTGGATATGGGGACTGATTCAGAAAAGGAGAATGGAATAAAGGAAGGCATGAAAACTGGGAACAATGTTGTAGGACCTGAGAAGAAAAATAAGCCCTTTATTATAGTAGAATGAATCAGACATAACTTTCCCATGTTCATATATTAATAAATGACCAATGTAACTTCACATCAGGTAGAACCACAAGAATGGGAAGTCATAATCCATGTATGTATAATAGGTCAAAATACATTATACTATCATGTATAACTAAAAATAACAAATAAAAAAATAAGCAGTTTATTTTTCTAACAGAGAGTTTAACATGAGGCAGGGAGTGCTGAGAGATCAAGAGGAGGATGGGTATAACTCAGTTGTAGGGGGCTCCTACTTGTCATTGAGGGGGTATTTCTAACATCCCCTCCCCCATCATAAGTTTATAATTCCTCCCAAGGGGTTAACCCAGCCCCTGGGTTCTGAGCACATCATGGGATGTGGAGCACACTGGTTTACATACCCTCATGAGAGTTATATGCTCTGCCAGGAAAGCAATTATATCTCATTTCTGTTTGCATTCACAGGTCTCCAGTGAGACTGCTTGTTGAAATAATGCATGGATAAATGGTTTCAGGCCATTGCTTCCTAAACAAAGTGTCCTGAGGAAGGACATCAGAAAACTGCCCTTGAAGGATTTTAGCAGCCTAGATTTCCTTACTTTCCTTACTTTCTTTTGCTTGTTTTGGCCACTCACTAACTTGAATAAAATCTCAGTTGAATACAAGTGGACACAAAGATATTTCGTCCACAGCCAGAGTTTGAATTCTAGAGGACGTGCTGGAGAAGAGTACCCTGCCTTAGACAGAGAAATTAACCTGAACAGAAGTCATTAGAAAGTTCTAAGGCCTAGCTCTGCCAACAGGACCCCAGAATGTAGATGAGATCTGAAAGTGCATTCAAAGCAAGAGGACCTGAGATGTTTGACCTTTATGGACCATCTGCCTCATGGCCAAAGGAAAGATCTAGTTAATTAGAGGTTGTGTGGTCTAGACAGAAGGAGTGAATAATAACTATTCATTATATACATTTTCACTCATGTATGTGTATAAAGCACAGCAATGGGTTTTATAGAACAGGTAAAATTGGATTAAGTCTAACTTCTAATGTAAAATTAGACATTAATCTGTGTACTTTCTTCTATAATCTTTCTTCTACAAAAAAATCAGCTATTTTTCTCCTCTGGCATGATAATACAATAATAAGATCAGATTTCAATGCTTAAAATTGTTAACATTGATAAATGTGTCATATATTAGCTTTTCACAGATGTCTTGGGAGTAGGTTATTGATTTTTAAAAAATGTTTATATAGATTGCTTTGCATCCCCATTTTCTTAAGATTGTTTTATGAACTCTCTGGAAGTGGTACTTAGTAAATAAATGATGTCATGACCACATAGTTCAAAAAGAACATAGGATTGCCAGAATAACAAAAGAAAAGAAAATGTGAAATTTTCCCTTTAAAAATATAATAAATTTATTTTGAAGATGAAACCATCATTATGATTTTGATACTGTGGAGATAAAATTTAGGAAATTGCAAGATGAAGATATAAACCACAAATGAAAATACATGGCATGAAACAAAAGTCAACTCAAAGTGGATCAAGGAGCTAGATATCAAATCAGAGACTCTCCGTCTGATAGAAGAAAAAGTTGGCTCCGATCTACATATTGTGGGGTCGGGCTCCAAATTCCTTAATAGGACACCCATAGCACAAGAGTCAATAACAAGAATCAACAAATGGGACTT